AACATAGAATAATAAAACAAAAACTTTCAAATCATCGATAGAATCAAAAAAATCGAAATTCGAGCCTATATATAACATAGTAAGATTGGACATAATCAACATACAGACGATGTGTAATGATAGAAACCTAATTATTACCGATCAAAAAAAAACGAAACGAAACAACCAATCTGAAAATAATATAAATATATTTTGGGAAATAATAAGAGAGGAGAGAGAGGGAGAGAGAGAGAGAGAAATCTCGAATTAATGATATATATACAGCAAAACAGAAAGAAGAAGAAAAAAAGCACAAATCAAATTCGAATCATGTTTGATTTGTTTTACTGTGAATTTCTATGAAAATAAATAAATATCAGATTGAAATGAATGGAATGAATGATATTTTTTTTTAGTATAATCATTCTTTCATTTATATACGTATCTCATCATTATGGCATTTGTTTTTTTTTTTGTTTTTTTCCTTATATAATGAATACGCGAATCTATTTATTATTATTATTACAATAATGATAGCGATGATTAAATGTTTTTTTTGTTGTTGTTGGTAAAATCCAAATCATCCCGAATAACTAATTTGTAAATATTGAAATGAAGAAAACAACGGGAAAAATTCAATGAATGATACCAGAATCAGGGTGAATCATCACCTTTTTGTTCGAAGAAATAAATGATAATGATGATGATGTGTTATTTTAGCTTCAGGGCTATTCATATATAATGTGTATATGGAATGAAAAAATGTTATTAAAAAAAAAATTCATCCGGAATTTTATTCATTGATTGATTTTTTTTTCTCTCTCTCTGTGTAATGTTTGTATATGAAAACCAAACAAAAGCATTCAGCCAATCATTCATTCATTCATTCAATAATCGATCCAAAACCACCATCAAACACCACAGAAAAAAAATTTGAAGCTAATCGAAAAAAAGAACCCGAATGAACAAAAAAAAAATTGAAAAGAAAAGAAAAATCATTATCATTCGATTTTTATTCCCGGCTAAATGGAAAAAAAAGTTACAATCAACGGAAGGGAAGGGAAAAGAATAAAAATTCGACGGATATCGATTTGAATCACGAAACCGATCAAACAAAACAAAACAAAACAAAAACCATTCATTTAGAGTTGAAACATTTCTTGTCAAATCCAGAAACAATAACCGAACCAACAAAAAGAAAAATTGTGACAAGTTTTTTATTCTCGTTATTGACCCCATTGACAAGCAAAATACAAATTTTGTTTTGTTTTGTTTTGATCAAAACAAAAATCGATATTTTTTTATATAAATCTCCAATAAGGCTTGTTTGTTCTTGATCTTTGATGATAATGATGATCAAGCTAAGAGCATCATCATCATCATTTCAATCGTTTTTTGGTCCATATCCATTCAGTCATCAATTTATATGCAATATTTTCCGAATGTGAAATGAAAAATTGAAAATCGAAAAAAAAAATATATCGATAATTCCATCATCGTTGTCGTCGTCAAAATCAATGAATGGTTGATGACAAAAATTACCAAACAAACAAATTGGAACATGATTATGATGAAACCAAATAATCAGAAAAAAATTTATTCATTCATTTTAATAATAAAAAAAACGCTTTTTCCATAATTTTTATTTTGATCTTTTTTCAAAGAAAAGTGACTGGCTTTGAATATCCAATCATCATCATTATTATTATTATATCCTGGTTGTTGATGAATATTATTCTCGTTCTCCAGAACGATATCGTCGATTTTATTTTTTGCTTTTGTTGATTCATTTTTCATATGTGCAATAAAAAAAACAACAACAACAAAATATAACCCTTTTTTTTGTTATCCTGGTTGTTGTTCATTTATGTTTACAGTTGAATGGATTTGGTTGAACTCTTGAATAAAAAAAACACCAAATTGAAAATCATCTTTTGCGCTTGCGATTATGATGATGATGATGATGATGATCAAGCCAATCTAGTAAATATCTATGAAAATAGTGAAAAATAACAAAAGCGATCGACCGTAATGCCAAATACATTGGCAAAATAAAAAATGAAGTAGTTTTTCTCTATATGTGTAAAAGAGGATATTATATACCAAACGTCGAAAAAATATTTTTTTCCTTGAAGAAAATTTTGTTTATTTTTTATAATTTTTTGTTCGGTTCAGACATTTTGCAGCCATCATTTTTCCGTATCGAAGTAAAATACTAGAAAATAAAAAAAAAACTATTATAACAACGACGAATTGATTGGTTTGAAAATTGGGGCCAATTTATGCATATAACATGTTCCAATAACCAATATATCGAAATTGTAGAATATTCTCAAAAATGATTTTTTTGGAGAAATTTTTTTTCTTGAATCGTCCAACTCTAGTTTTCCAATGAAATTTTATATTATGAAAATAAATTTCTTTATTTGGAATAGAAAAAAAAGGTGTGTGATTTAACAAATATGGTTATATGTGGTTAACAATTTTTTTTTTCAAATAAAACAATAATCATTTTATGATTAATAAATAACAATATTTTCTTATCAATAGCGATAGAAAGTTAGGCAAGTATCTTTTTTTTTGAAATTATCTTTAAGAAAAATTATCATTTAGATCAATAATTTTTCCAACATCATTAATACTTTTAAGGTGAAATAGGCAAAGATAGGCAAGTGTAGATGTTATTGGTTGGTTTTAAATTATCATTTTTAAAAAAGGGGAAAATAATAATCTCATTATATTCATCATTATTAAACATTAGTTAAGGATATTTTTCTCTATTTTTTTAAAAAAATTGGCAAACCTAAAATATTACCAATTCTTATCAGTCAACTACGACCAATATTTCATGAGCAAATATTTTCCACGGAATTGGTGGCAAAATGGACATTCAAATATTTAAATAAAACTCTATTTTAAATATAAAAAACTCTTTAAAAAAAAATATTCATAACTATCAATTATCAACAGCCTTGGATAGTAAATTAAGTGAAAAATCAAAAAGTTATTATATCGATCATAAGGCTTTTAACAACTATTACTACTATTACTAAATTAGTCATACTCAAACTCTAATAACTCTAATAACAACTAATAATAATAATTGTTTAACTCCATAGATACCCTTATTGTATTAAAATTCAATAACAAAAAAAAAATCCTTTTTCATTAAAGATCTTGAAACTCACAAGATCAGAATTGGAGGTGATAAAACTAAATCTATCACTTTATAAGTAGAAACAAATGCAACAAATTGAAGATTAATACAGATAAGGGTATCTTCTAATATGACTAACAAACTCTATATTTAAAACTCAAAAATATAAATAATAGTAATATAACCATTATGATCGATAATGAAAGTAAGACCGAAAAAAATTGCTCAAGAATGGTCTACATTTAATTTTAGACCATTCACTGAATTGGAGAACCTAATCCAATCCAGAGATGTGCAAATTTTTCCTGTCAAACCTGTGGCTTTTTGAAACTATTACCAGAGGCTGCAACTTAACTAAATGAATTAAAGTTTTTTTTAAACCCTCTTCCCTATCCTCATCTAATATATTATTAGCAAACAAATTTAAAATCTAATCAATTCTCATATCTTATGGACCACACTAAAACCGTGAAAAATAAAACTCATGATCGCAATTTAAAAAAAACACTCATTCAACTAAGATCAACTCAATATAATAATCATCATCACATAAAAATCAATTGCCTAAAGTAAAAATGATGCGGACCATTTTGATCAGAATATATAATCTTGCTGTTTTATAAATATTGTGTAGGGGTAAGTCAAAATGAAATCATATCCAATATGATTTTATCAGAAAAAAAAGGCAAAAAAGTAAAAAATCCTAGAAAAAAAATGAGAAAAAAAGGAAAATTTGGTTTCGATTAGTTTTTTTTCCATTTTCTTTCAATGATTATTATTATTATTATTATTGCGGATGGTTACCAAACATTCAGGCACCGATCCATGATCAATTTTTCAAAGTAAAGAGTAAAAAAAAAACAATTTTCAAACATAATCAGAAAAAAAGTGAAAAAAAATAATGGCAATGAACCATACCATGCATGTGATGAATGAAAATAAAAAATAAAAAACTTTTTTTTCTCTATTTTACTTCCACAAACAAACAAACAAACACACACAAAACTATTTATTTGGATCTACGACTTGAATACAAACGGCCATATTATGTGAAATCATTCTTCGTTTTTTTTTTGTTTTGTTTCATTCATGAATGGTTCATGTCACAGCTGAACTCAATTGGATGGATAACCCAAACCGTACAGCATGTTATGTATATTGTCTATATATATGTTATGAATTTTCCTGAACCAGAACAAAAAAAATCTTTAAAATTCACGAGAGATACGGATATACAGAGATAGAAAAAAAGAGAGTGCAAATTTTTCTATTCCAGGAATTTTTGATATCCGATAAAAACTTTGTGTCGACCGTTTCTGTAAAGTGTGTAACTTAAACATTATTCAAATGTTTAAAGATAAAGCTCATCAATGACAAAACAAATTATCATGATTCAATTATTATCACAAATGATAATAATAACAAAAAACTTAACAAACATAAATTAGATCTCATTATTGTTTGTCTAGATTTGGAAACTGTTAAAACATTCCATTATGATATGAAAAAAATCAATCAATCAATCAAAACAAATCAAATATTTTGGCAAAATTTTCAAGGAGAAAATAGGATTTCAAATATATTGCATTATTATTTCATTTGTAATTTGGTTGTTAGGTGTTTCTAATCAACAACTTCTTTTTTTTATTACCTATGAATGATAATCATTATTAACAAATTTAACAAAAACAAGTGTTAAGATCCGGATCGATACGATTGATTGTGAGGATGATGGTGATGTGATGAGATTGTCATCAATAGTATATGGTTACACTGTATGATTGAAATCAGTGTTCAAATAAATCTTTTTTTTTTCGTTGCCAAATAAAATCATTCATTTTATTATTTGCATCCAAACAGCAAACATCGTCATCATTATTTTTTTTCAAAACTTTTCTACAGAAACAAAACGAAATAACTTTACCTTAAACAAAACAAAAAATGATGAAAACTATCATTATAATTGTGTTGATGTCAATGATGACCACATCAATCATGGCTAAAAGTAAGTTTTTAGAACAAAAAAAAAATTTGATGTTATTATTTTCAATAAAATTTCATCACAAAAAATTTCTCAAAGCTGCTGAAGAATTGAACAAAAAACAATTGGATTTGCTTAATGAAGCAAATGAATGGATAAAAAGTGCAAATGATTGTTGGAACAAATACGGTAAATCGAAATATAATGAAAATACAAAAAAATATAAGGAATATCATCTGAGATTAATGCAAATCGACAAGAAGCAGCAAGACATTCGACTAACTAATGAAGAAAAATATTTGGATATTTATGAACAAGAAATGCATCTATTTGAAACTGAATTAAGAGATAAAATGTCGGAATTTGGATGTCAGGTGCCAAATGGAGCCAATCATAATATTATGACCACAACCATTATGATTATGTTAATAATGTTGGCAATGAATTTTGTTCGTTAAAATTATAATATTTTTATAAGTAAAAATTAAAATAAAATTCTGTTCTCAATACATTAACTCTATGGTCAATAAATTAGCTACAAGAAAATTTGTACGATTCTGTTTTTCATTTTCACATAAATCGATAAATAAATCGTAGTCAATATATAAAGATGAATGGATGATGGTGAACATGTGTTTAATGTTCGTCTACAAAATTGAAACTTTTTGTTTTGTTTCAATTTTCCCAAAAAAAAAAGAAAAAAAAGGCGATAATGTTAATAACATGTAACTCATGTAATGTTCATCAACAGCAGGGGTGGATAAAAATTAGATATTTTTTTCATTCATTCATTCATTCGAGATTTACAGGAGACGATGCTAAATAATAATAATGTATTAAATAACATCAAAGTAATATAGTATATGAAACACATAGATTATGATGAAAGCAAGAAAATAAAAATGATACTTATGAAGCTTATCGAAAGCAAAAGTGAAAAAAAAACAAAACAAAACAAAACAATATTGAAATCCTTAATTTAGAAAGAAAAAAATCCAAAATGAATTTTTCTTTTTCTGATGTTTTGAAAATTTCGATTCATTGCGTTTCGGTAAATATTCTATGCATTCATCATTATGGAGAATGATGAAAAAAAAACCACAAAGTTTTCATATTATACATTTCACACATTTCGATTCTTTTCCTCTGTGTGTGTCTCAATTTCATCATCATCATCATATCCGCCGACCTGTGTGTGTGTGTTGATGACTTGAAAGAATTTGATCATTTTCAGTCAACAACAGCAAAGAAATGAAATGAAATGATTATTATTATTATTGTCATCGGGAAATTCATTTCCGTAATAATTCAGCTCTAAACACACACACACATTTTGATAATAATAACATAGAGAAATTTAATTCTGATAATGTTTATTTCACTTTTTTTTTCTACTTTTCATTCCACCAACACACATATATACACAGACACACACACAGGATATTGTTATTCTACCTGATTTAATTCAATTTTTGAAATGTGATGGATGCAACTGATGCCACCAAATGTGTGTGTGCGTGTAGCAACATAGCAAAACGAGTCAACTCCAAAAAAAAGTTAGTTTATTCATTTGATTTTCATTTCAAAGAGATAGAAAAGAAGAAGAAAAATCTATCCTGTCCAAAATGTTTGAAATGTTGTTGTTGTTGGCATTTCAAAAACATACATTCAGAATTCTATAGTATTTTACTAATATAATTCGGGAAAGAAATCATCTCCGTTTTTTTTCCTGCTCATTTCCGATGTTATAAAAACGAAAAAAAAGAAATAAATAAATATCTGTATATAGAAGACTTGGAATACGAAAGAAAAAAACCTGTATAAACTTGCAAACACACACGCACACACACACATAAACACAGAGAGAAAACGGTTTGAAAATATTTTCAAAAAAATGAAAATATACGTTAATCGCATAAACATACAGCAAAACTAAGTAAAATATATAGCATTAAGAATCATCATCATCATCATCATCATCTATAATATTAATATATGGACATTTTTATGAGAAAAATCAAAGGAAACTAGTCTATATAATTTTTGCCAACAAAACCAAAAAAAACAATATTAAAATATACATTTCGTTCATTACAACAAAAGTATTAAAAAAAACGATATTAATGTTGATCCAAGACCAATTTGTTTTTGTCGTTCAGACACATGTAAATTCATGTTGTTGTTGTTGTTGTTGGATGATAATATAAAAACTAATATCTAACATAAACAACAACAAAAAGCACGCGTGCATATCATATTTACCCCACAAAAAAAAAACCCAACATTGCATTATAATTGAGTAAGAAAACAAAAAAAAAATACATCATTATAATAAATCATCGAGAGAACTAGGAACGACAAAAAAAGTCAACTTTGAAATGAGAATAATAACTATGGTGTATTCTACAAACTGTGCAAAGTTAGATTTTTTCCCTTCCTTTCTTCATCTGATCATCATCATCATCATCATCATTGAGGAGATTATCATATATGATAGAAAGAGAAATAGAGAAAAAAAATCGGAATATTCTTTAATGTCAATTTGACTACTATGTATATAAAACTTATTTAACTGATAACGCTCGATGATGATGTCGATATTTGAGCTAATTCTAAATTCATGTTTAGCTTATTCATTTATACATATGATATGATTAGGAAAGAAGAGATATTTTGTTTTGATGAATTAATCAACGTTAATTACACACATACACACACACTCATCATCAGTTCAAACTCGATAAAAATAAAGTTATTTGCCGTAATAAATTGAATTATGTGAAAGAAAAAAAACTATTACTCACCGTTGGAACACATTTCTGCACAATATTGATGAAATCTAATCCTTGCATACCATTACCATTGAAACAATGTTGTATGTTTTTGGTAAATTGTCGATGTATAGTGGATAATGGATAAACACATAATGCCGAATGACTAGATGGTCGTGGATCTTCCATCGTTTGTTCATCCACCGATCGGGCAAATACAACATATAAATGATCATCATCATATCGTACGCCAGTTATATTAGCCAATTTTAATGATGGCCGTCCAATAAATGCAGCTTGTGCAAGATTAAAATGTTTTTGTTGATGGCCTTGATGACGACATACTAATGGTACTTCGGTATATGAATAATAATCCGGATCATTCTGACAAATGCGGACTACGGTTATGTTATTGAATGAGAACAACAAAAAAAAAAAAAAATAAAATAAAAACAAATTAAATATGACATATAACATCCAATATCAATTTGAAAGAAGAAACCAAAAACATACCTAATTTTGACATGAATGCCGATTGCAAAGTATTACGTTTCTGTACGGTAAGAAAATAACTAAAACCACGTGAATGAAATCCATAAATATATGTGATTGGATAACGATCACGTGCATATGCATTAATGATTAAACGTGTTCCAGTGGATACGCCAACCAATGCCAATTGGAATAAATCTAAGTTAAGTTAGAAAAAAAAATGAAAAGTCAGAAATCATTAATAAATAATTAAATTTTCAACAGTCAATAGAAAAAAATGAAAAAAATTCAATCAAATAATATTATTACAATAAAACTAAATCATTAACAAATGAAACTTTTTTTGGTGACTGTGGTTACATTACTATTCTATCAATGTTTTGAACATCATTGAAAAAAAAGAAAACTTTGCTTTTTATTTCAACAAAATTAGCATCATCTTTCACCAATAATTTTTATCACCATCATGAATAGAGAGTAGGAATCTAAAATAAATTTGATTAACCTGTATCAAGACAATAATAAAAGATTTGTGATTGAAAGATGTAAAAAAAAATTCATATATGAAATATGAATATATTCGAGTTATTCATTGCTGTTCAATATAACAAATGATAAACTTACATTTACAAAAAAAAGTATTTGAAAAAAAATTCAATTTAAAATCGAAAATGGATAAGTGACAATCAATATCGGTATTTGATGTGTTGGTATTTTCGATGTTCAACAAGTCTTCGATCAGACATCGAATGAATATTTCTGGTGCTAGCCATAGGCTTTTTATACAAATTTATCATGTCCACTAGCATAAATGAATCGAATGCGCCATGAAAATGATAGAATAGTGGTATAAATGGCAGTAATCATATAGGTGTGGCGTTTTGTTTCTACGTATATCATTATGTAATATACAATGGGCGCAACTAGCCTAACTAAACATGTGGTGAGATATGAGCCGAGCAAGGGTTTCTTTTTTTCGTTTTGCATAGAGATGAAAAAAAATGATGGCGATTATGCATAAGAATAGCAAGAATGATAAAGATCATCGATTATTGCTAAAATATGATTATGATAAATGATTTTCGGAAAGATTATTTTCTAACTTATAACACTAATTTCCGGTAGAAAACAAAATATTCGGAAATCATAAACATATAGTGATTATAATCAGTATTAAAAGAATTCAAATCACCAGGGAAATGATGAATCGCATGACAAACACACACACACACACACTTGTTGTGGTATGATAAAAAATTGATCTTTGATTTTTTTCAATCATTCGAATCGTATGATTTTTGTAAATGATGCGTGTGTCCTTATAAAACCGTGTGTGTGTGTGGCATTATTAGTTACCGGACCACCGAAATAGCCGGATAAAGACGTCAAGGTTGAAATGTGAACAATTTTTTTCTATCCATGATTTCAACCACTAAAGACCACACATACATAGCAGCAAAAGTATAAAGGAAACTAAAAAAATGACATAAGGTTCAAAAATTCAATTAGATTTTCACTTTATATTGGAAAAAAATCTATTGATCTATTCTCTAACTAGTTTTTTAATGATCATTTTTTTTTCTAGCGAATCAAGTGATCCGATAATAATGATAGGAATTGAATTTTTTTGTTTTGTTTTGAAAAGCTCAGATAACGTCAAGCATCATCATCATTATTTGAAGAGAGATTTTTTTTTTCATTTTGATAAAAAAAGGAAAAAAATTGAAATAATAAACTTACTTGTATCAAATAATGATCGTGAACTAACAACGGGCAAATCCGATCGATATGATCCAGCCGTATATGTAGCACCAACATATAATACTTGTTTATGTGGATCGGGACCCGGTGCAATAAATGCAACGGTAGATGCGGTAGCATTATTTGCCACTACCGGCTCTTGTGGTTGATCGATAATACGGCTTATATTGTAAAGACTATGCGCTGTACATGTTCCTTGAAATAATGAACCGCAAGATATTAGCCATTGATGCATTGGATCGACAACTAATGCTTTATTATAATAATTTGATAGCCGTTTTTTTACATCCGGTGCACAACCTTTCGATATTGGACAATCATTTGAATCTTCATATGGTCCCATCGATATTTTTTCCAATAATTTTAGCCGTAAATTCAATTGATATATAGTATTTACGGCACCAATATAGACAAAGCCAACGGTTTCATTGATTACCATATGTGAAAAATAGATATCCGGATTCGTTTCTTCAAAATATGTATGATTCATACCATTATTGCTTATTGATGATGATGATGATGTAAAGCCATCATTATGACCACCAATCAATGATGATGATTGCTGTTGATGCTGACTGGGTGATGATTGAACACTTCCACCACCAAACAAGCCATAACGATCGAATAGGCCACGTTTAACAATCGTATGATTATGATTATCGTGATGGTAATTAAAATGAGAACATTCATTTCCCATAACCATTATTGGAAATAATTGTTGAAATGATGATAATATCAAAATGGTAATCATAAACATTGAACATTTTGGTCGACTATTAATGTGATTTTTATGATTTTTATGATCACCATTATAATCATGATGACAGTTGTGCAATTCTGAGAATGGAGATTGATTTGATTTTATTCGATCAAATCGATGACTGGATTGACAACTTGATGATGACACATCGGTCTTGTTCGATATCATCGATAATAAATTGATTATTGTTGTTGAACAATATTGATGATGGCACCATAAAACATTGATAATATTCATCAATAAATTATTAATATTGATGTAGTAGGCATTGAAAACATAACATTGGAACAGGTAGAAAATGTGACAAAATGAAATGATAATGATGATTTCATGTAATGTTGTTGGGCACATTAATAGAATTGGCTTTTGTAACGGTAATATCATCATCATAATCAATAAGATCGATAAAGATAATGATAAAATTATTTGCATAGTTATTGTTTCGAATGGCCATAATAATAATAATAATAATTTCAATATTGATCTATTATCATTATTGAAATGATGATGATGATGATGATCATGATATGTTTGTTTGGGCTGTTGAAATTCATGATGATGATTGCTCATAAATGACATGTTTCGTCTGATATCTAAACGATGATTATATCGAAAACATCGATGATGATCAACATTTGGCCTTTTTCTTTCTAGCTTTTCATCATTGTTATTATCATCGACATTGATGAAATCACGATTAATTTGATCAAATTCTGAGTAACGACAATAATAGTTATAGGAGGAATAGTAAATTTCGTCATTATATTGGATTTGTATTATTGGACTAGAATTTTGTCGATGAGAATGATGATGATAATGATAATGTTGATGATGATGATGATGATGATGATTAAAATTACCATCATCATCATCTTCCGTTTCCGTATTCATCATTGTATGAATGTTGTTCGTATTATTATGATTTGTCGGTGTGGATATTTCATTATCATCATTCGATATTGATGATAATTCGTTCATCATTGATTGTAATTTTATTCGTTTCATTCGATTCTTGAAAATCGTTCATTCATCATTAATAGATATTATTTTGCCAGTTGGTTTTTTTTTTGGTTATTCTTTTGAAATTCCATTTGTGGATCGATATCATAAAAATTTATTATTATTATGGTAATGATAATAACATTCATTCAATTTTTTTTTATTTTGCTTCTAAAAACAGTGCAGACAAACGTTTTGGTGAAAAATAAGAAACGAAACTTCGGAAGAAAAATTGATTTCGTATTCTCGACCCCGTAGTGAAAACCAAAACAAGAATAAGAGATTCCCGCGGTGAAATCCTATAGAATTGAGAAGTAAGAGAAAAAAAAATAGACAAAAGAATATGAAATTAGAATTTTTTTTCATGTTTTTATTTGTGATTTGGAAAGAAAAAATTCCATAACAAAATATAATGAAAATAGAATCAATGAATGAATCTCATACATAACAAACAAATGAATTATTCAATTTTCCAACAAACATCCAATTCATTTCACAATACAGAATACACTCGAAAAAAAAAGAAAATGGAAACTTTGTTCTTTCTCACTTTATTTTGGTTTTTATTTGTTTCTATAACCTTTGTGTGTTTGTGTGTGTGTGTGTCATATTCTGTGTCATGAAAATGTGGCAAAAAAGATGTGGTAAGCATTTGATTTATCTTTATTTTTTTGCTTCAAATCTAATGGTAAAAAATGATGATTATGATGATGAAATGCAAAATAATTCTGAACAAAAAATCATAATCATCAGTGGGCAAAAATGATACAAAACAAGAATGGATGGATAAAATGAAAATTTGTAATATTTATTTCGATTTATAAAATAAAATGTTACAAAATTGTTGGGAAAAAATGAGAGAAAGACGATTTGAAAAATTTGAAATTTAAATTTTACAAACATCAAACAAACAACCAACCAAATTTATGTTTGGTCCCAAGAAACGATGAAAACGAAGAAGAAGAAAAAATCAAATCAAATCACATCTGCAAATGTGTTTCGATTGAAATTTTTTAAAATATTTGTCTAGTCAAAAAATATCGAAACAAATTATCGGATTCTGATACAGTGATTGAAATCTGTTAAAAGAAAAAGAAAGAGTAGAAAAACTTTCTCACATCCACCATTCAATAAATTTTGTACATTCGTGTTAATTCTACTTGATACTTTTGAATAAAAAAAAAACTGAGAAAAAAGAAAATGATTTTTTCTTCATAATTTAAATCGGAAATGGATCGTAGCCTGAAGAAGAATAGGGTATTTTTTTTTGCTTCTTCTTTTAAATTTTAATTTCAAGATGAAAAGTTTTTGTGAACTGAATTGAAAAACATGAAATTTAAAGAAAATGTTTAAGAATTTTTCATTTTTTTTCCTTCAAATTTTACAAGTAAACAACAACAATGACGATACTTATGAAAGCATTGTGAAAAAAAAACATTTACGGTTTCATGATTTTGAAACTTTAATAACAGTGTTATGTAATATACACAATTCTCATCATCATCATCATCGTATTACCGTTATTTTTTTTTATATAATAACTGAATGAATTCCAGGCAATGTGTTTGTTCATACTATAGGGACATCAATTTTCATAAATATTTTTTTCATCTTCTTAAACATATAACATAGATATGCCTTTTTTTAACCATTTATATATATTTATTATGCCAGAATGCACTTATCATTCTGGATGAATTTGTGCAACAAAAAAGAAAAGAAAAGAATATTCTTATTATTCTCGTATGCTATTAGTGAATGGCAAAGAATGCCAAAAAAAATTGATAGGAAAGGATAATAATTCAGTCAGAAAAAAAAAGAATATGAAAAAAATCTGAACAACGAAAAAAAAATTGAAAATTTTTCATGTTGAAAACGAATCGTATCTTTTGTGTTTTAGAATATATTCTTACAGATTCTACAATCAATTCAGAAAATAGGTAAGACTTTCAAGTCATTTCATTTCTTTTGTTTGCTTTGTAAATGTGAAATATCATATCAGTATTATTATTAATTAGAAAATTATTATTATTATCATCATTATTATTACAAGCCAAACAATCGTCATAAGTTGACGGAAATATTATCAGAAAAAACAGTAATACGAAAAAAATGGATGTCAAAAAAAGAAGCCAATTAGAAACAACGATCATTGGGAGAAAAAAAAAGATTTTAATTATTATTATCATCATTATCATTAACATGACTGATGCAATTATAATCTAAATATTCTAATGGCTTTTTTGTTTCTCTCTCTCTCCCTTCAATCCAATTCAAACATTTGTTGAGAATAGCAATAGCAATTCGATTCAAACATTCATAATAATAATAATTTCATGATAAATTTAGTCATTATAAATGGCAAAAAAAAAATCAAATGATGATGAAATTTACAAATAAAAAATATTAATTATTTTCATCATTTGATGAAATGTGAACACCCCATAAAAAAATATGAAATCTGTATCATGGATTCAATTTCAAATATAATCATCGTTAGATGTCGCTATTTTATAGAATTGATGAATCATCATCATCATCATTATATAACCGAAAAAAAAAGTTTATTGATATCAATAGATATTATTTAATATTAATATATTCAACAACTTGCCTTTAACATCATCATCATCATCCTCATTATCATTAATATTGAAATTTATTCATATCATCATCATCATCATCATCATCACAAAATTTGATTCAGTTCCTAATCTATTGTAAATTATGTAATGTGTGGTGATAGTAATCACACCTCTCTCTCTTTTTCGCCTAGTAAATATATTCAATGTATGAAAAATTGGGATCGCCATTTTATCATTATTATCCGGTTTTTAACATTCAAAACAATAACAAAAAAACAAAAAACAAAAATTTGCATCAAAATAATGATGATTGGTAAGAATTATACATAGTTTTTTTTCCTACTGATTCGAAATCAAAGATCAATCTTTGATTGCCATCATCATTATCAATTGATTGAAGTAAGTTTTTCTTTTCTTTTTTTCATTCGATATTGAATTTGTCAATGAAATTCCAAATTATTTGGTTTTTTTTCTTCATTTTGAAAAAATAATGATGAACTTTTTTTTCCAGTTAAACAAAAAGCCGTTTTCAATTTACACACACACACACACACACACACACACACACACACACACACACAAAAATTTTAAATCGGATATATAAAAATAAAATAATGATCAAACGAACAAATCTTTTTTTATATTATTATTATTAACGATGCTTATTACACAAGCGACCAAACCAAACTTTATTTCATTTTGTTGTTCATTGATTTTCATTTTCCTATTCACTGATAGGAAAATTTTTTTTTTTTCAATTTTCATTCAATTCAATTTCAACAAATGAATAAAACATAACAATGTCGCACTTTTGATTTTTTTTACCGTTTCTGATATAGTGATGTTTCAAGGAGTGGAATCAATATGTCAAAATAACAACAACAACAACATATTGATGTTTTTTTTATATTTATTATTTTAGAAAGATTTTCCTAAACAACAAACGAAAACTTTCAAAAAAAAAAATATAATCCAGGTGTGATGGGAAAAATACATCTGGGAAAGTTCCACAAACAAAAAAAACGAAAGAAAGAAAAAAAACAGAAAAGAAATGGACATGAAATCAAGAAAATCGTCATATGATGATGATGATGATGATGGAACGAGAGAGAAACAAAAAATTTAAAAGAAAAAAATAATAAATAAAATATATCGATACGCGAATATATCAAGCAAGCAAGCAATCAAATAAATAAAATATTGATTCAATTTTCCGCCTGAAAAACAAACAAACACAGAAAAATCAGTTTTAAAATAATAATAATAATAATAATAAAATTGGCTTTTTTTCAACATTCATTCCGGTTATTACTATGATTTTTTTTTGTTGTTTTCTTCATCGAATATCAATTTGTGATCGAAAACAAAAAACAAAAAAATCATTTCAAAATATAGACTATATATACCACTTGGGAGATGGTTCCCATCTATCTATCTATCTATCTAATATCTAACCAATCTAG